CGGGTGTGAAGTCTCTTCCCGGCGGTAACAGCGGTGCCTGGAGCCTGGTTGCAAGCCCCTCGGGACAAAACGAGCCGCGTCCACCTGACAGAGAACATCGGGGGTCCTGCCATCGTGCGGCTCTTTGGAGCACATGTTTTCTAGTGTCTCTGCACACGGGCTTCACCGGGGAAAGGAGAGACAGCAGAGGGAGGACCCCGGACGTCAGACTGTCAGCCCTCAGCAGCGGCTCTCGAGAGAACCAGATTTCCCGGCTTGCCCTGATCCCTGCTGGAGTGTTATTTGGTTTTCTTTGGAAACCGACACACTGGGAGGAATTCAGGGCAGGGTCCCACAGGCTCTGCTGGAGGTCAGTCCAACCCGGGCAGCCCCCACCTTGCTGTCTGCACTAGGGGAGGTTGGGTATCCAGGGGTCCCTCTGACGCCATTTAGCCTATCTGGGGTAGGCTTCAGCGGAGTCCCTAATTCTCTGAACACAGCTGCCCAGAGCCCCCTGCTGGCCCAGGCCTCCTGTCCAGACCCCTCCGTGGACCCAGCCGCCCAGGCCTCCTGTCCAGACTCATGCGCCCAAGCCCATCTGCCTAGACCCACCTGACCATAAGCCACCTGTCTGAACCTCCTGTCCAAACTCATCTGCTAGACACACCTGCTCGGACCCCTGCCTGGACCCTGCCTGGACCCACGGGCCTCCCTTCAGCCTAATGTCAGGACAACACGATATGGGCAAGTGGCAGCCTAGGGCCCAGAGTTGAAACCCCATCTCTCTTAAACCCCATGGCACCACATGACAGCTGTGGGCTTGCCCAAGCCAGGAGTGGTGGGTATCTTCCCTCATCTGTCTTCAGCGTCTTCTTGTTCTCAAGTCTCCTCCCTGCTGTTGACCAGAACATTCTTAGGACCCAGCACGCTGCCCGGGCCTTTGGGAAACCAGTGACTTACAGTCAACAACCTAGGAGGCCATCCGCTCCGTGAGTGGGACAGCCTTCCAGAGCCAGGTGAGAGAGCCTGGGGGTGATCTGAGGTTGGTCCCCGTGATGGACCTTGGGGGGCTGGCCTGGAGCCAAGGCTGCCCCCTCTCTGCTCCAAGCCACTGGGCACCTGCCTTTCCGAGGCTACCTGCTCCTCAGTAGTTCTCATGTGAAATGGCCCAGCTACTTGTGGGACAAACTGATGTGCCCCAGGACCGTGTCACATCCACAGGCCCTAGTTAGCCATTTCTCCATGAACATCTCACGCCTGAGTCCTTGAGCCACCGTAACGATGACAGTGCTGTGTTTGGTGGGATCAGGTCTTCGTTCTGAAAACCCACAGTGCAGGTTTTCTAGGGCAGAGGGGGGCAACCGTGTCCCCGGCACGGGCACCACCTGCTGTTTCGCCTGTTGGGACATCTCCTGGAACACAGTCCTTCCTCCCCTTTGGGCTTTGTCCGGATCAGATGTCCCAGAAGGAGCGGCAGGCAGGGATCTGGATGTCTGTGTTGCCAAGGAGTGATTTCCAGGCAGAGGGGAGAGGGAAAGCGGCAGGGCAGCTGAGGCCGAGCCTGGGGGCCCTGGACCACGGACCGCACCCGCCCCTTGACCCCAGCTGAAGTGGGGGGCTGCAGACTGCCCCGGGTGAGGTTGCGACTGGCTGAGCAGAGCTACCTCGGACGTGCGGCCGTGACCCAAGGCCGCCGGGCTCAGGGAGCCAGGCGTGGGCGCACCTGCCCGGAACGTCGGTCTGAGGGGAGGGACACCAGCTTGACCGTGACTGGGGTCCTGGCACGAACCTGGAAAATTGCGAGAGAAGTCTAGAAACTGGAATCGAAGCCTGGAGGGACTTACACGACCGTCCGGGACTAGATCCCAGTCCGCCAACCTTCTTTCAAAAATGAGGACGCTGAGGCATGAAGCCACAGGCTCGGGTGGTACAGACGCAGAGGCAGCCGCCCCGGAGGGCAGGTCTCCAGGCCCCTGGACTCCCAGCTGAGTGCCGTCTCCCTCCATGGCTCTAGGGGAGGGAACAGGTCGGTCAGCGTGGGGGACGGGGCCCCCGGGGCTGGTGGGGGCGGTGGGGACGGGACGCCCGGCCGCCGGGCGCCGAGGGACCCGTTAGGTGTGTCAGCCACAGCCAAGCTGACAGAGGTTATTCTCTGTCAGGTGAGGTCAGGGCTCCGGGGAGACGCTGTGGGTCCACGTGGCCCCTCTTTTATGTCAAGTGAGCAGACGAATGCAGGGGCCAGGGATGCTTTAGAACATTCCACTCAGGCCCCGTGCTGTCAAACAGCATGCACGACGCTGCGGCCTGCAGCTCCCTTTCCAGCCACAGCCCAGCCCGAGGAGGCTCCCGAACCATGTGTGGGGCCGTGTGCGCCCCGAGCCCGAAGGCACACAGGGCAGCGCGCAGGAAGAGGCCGGGGGTCCGCCGTCGCCTCCCGCACGGAGCTGGCCTCCGACGTGGCTTGACCCACAACCTTTTTCCAGGTGAAGCTGCCGTGAGGACAGGAAAACCAGCCCCCTCCAGTCCCCGGAGGTCACAGGCCAGGGCGTGGGGGTGGCCAGACCAGGGCTGCGTGTGGTGAGAAGCGAGGCCCCCTGACAGGCGGGGAGCCTTCTGTCCCCGGAGCTGCATCCGAGGGGGAAGGAGGCTTGTGGCCCTGACAGGGTTTATGGTCCCTGTTGGCCCAGAAGCCCGTCTGGGGAGCTCACACGGTGGCTGAACTGTGCATCACTTACGGCCAGCGTGATTACCTTCGGCTTCACGCTCCATAAAAGCTCTATGCCGCTGGGTTGCGCGCTGTAAAGCCATGCACACCCCCCCCTCCCGGCCTGCAGGGGTTAGGCAAGGCCCGCCCAGGCTGCCTGGGGCAGGGGAGGGATGGGAACACTGTGTTCCCGGTTGCCAGCCCTCCCCCTGGACCTCCAGCTCCAGCGCAGGCAGCACCCCTGTGGCCAGGGAGCCCACCCGCCTCTAACAAAGGCAGGGGCCCCGACGTCTTGCTTTCACGTCCCCGTAGCGGGGGGGGGGGGGGGGGGGGGGGGGGGGGGGGGGGGGGGGGGGGTTGGAATAATGCAGACTTCCGTTCCAACCCCTGAAGGTTAGTTAAGGACAGGTCTCGAGCTGAAGATGTCAGCCAGAGGGCAGGCTGCTGTCTTCTTCCTCCTGGGATGCCTGGGCCAGTGGTGGCCAGTGCCTGTGGGCCCGGTGCCTGGCGCCTGGGTCACTGCTGGCTGGAGGTGGGTCCCGATGCTGGTGCCCAGGACGGAGAGGGGCCACAGGAGAGCCCCGCTGACCGGTCTCCCACAAACCCAGGTGCTTCAACTCCACAAATGTATCACCTTACCATTCTGGAGGTCAGAAGTCCCACCCGGGTCTCATGGGACTGAAGTGCAGGTGTGGGTGGGGCCATATTCCTTCTGGAGGCTCCAGGGGGCAGTCTGTTCTTTGCCTTTTCCAGCTTCTGGAGCGTCTTGCCTTCTGGAGCCCCTTCCTCCACCTGAGAGCCGCAGGGGGTCTTTATGTGTCTCAGGTTCCCCTTGCGGCTGACCTCTGGTTCCATGAAGTCTCCGCCTCTGATTCGGACCCTCCTGCCTCGCTCTTCTACAAAACAATCCAGGATCCTCCCTCATCCGAAGATATTAACTGAATCACATCTGCAAAGCACCCCCCCTTGCTATGTTAGGTCACCCGCTGGCAGGCTTGAAGGATTAAGATGTGGACGTTTTAGGAGCCATCATTCTGCCGACCATGCCCTTGAACCTGGCCTGGCTGGGGTAGTAAATCCAGCAGACGATCTCAGTGTCACCTTCGGGAAGGAGACTGATTTGTTAAGAGTTCCCAGAACATGGGTTCAGCGCCCGAGCCCTCTGTGCGGCCCGTGGGAAACGTCTTCCTGGGTGTGCTGGGCTGTACATTCAGGGCCGGAGGGGTTTCCTCTGTGCAGAGCGGAGCGGCTGGCGACGGCTGGCTCTATCCTGATGGCAGACGGCTCCATGCCACTGGCTGGGCAGGGGAGGAGCTGGTTATCAGAGACGAAGGCCATGCCTGGCAGGCGGTTCCCATTGGGCAGAGGCCCCCACCTCAGGGGACAGTCAATAGCCAGAGGGTTTCAACACACGTGGGCTCTCCTGCTCAGCCCCCAGCACCAGGAGTCCGAGATGCCTGGGGCTGCAGGGCGCTGAGAGATCACTGTGGGCAACTGAGGCCCAGGGAGGGGAGAGGCCTTGTCCGAGAGGAAGCTTCTGGGAGCCCAGGCTAGCACACCGCTGCTTCCCTGCCCCGTCCCGGGACGAGTCTCGGGACAGAGCCTGAAGCTGGGCTGGTGGCCTTGAGCGGCTGCGTTCTTTGGGACCCCAGATCCAAGTCCTTACAGATCCACACACACTCCTTCGGAACAGGTGAAATAAATTCTTTTGTTTTCTTCCCTTCTTTTTAATCTTTCTCCTGCCTGATAACCTTCCCCAGATACGGGGTCCTAAAATTGCATATTATTCCTTCTGGAGGTGTTAGATTCCTACATATGAAAACACAAAGCTTCACCCTTTGATCTTTTAGAAACAAGCCAGGAAACGAGGGCCAGAGTTGCTAATCAAAGCAGCCCTTTTAATATCTCTGATGCCGGAGCATATGGACTCCCTTGGGCCACGACGGCCCGTGAATCCGCCCGCGTGTACGGTACTTCGGAATGTTTACCGGGAAGCCCCCTGCAAAGTATGCAGTCCTTGGGGCAGAGCGCAGGGTCCGAGCTATGTCAAAGCCGAGACTGTTGGCACGCCAGGAGGAGCCTGGACCTCCAAGGACCTTGTCAGGCTGCTTGCTTTGCTCCATCCAAAGGATGGTTAGGATAGTACCGACCTGTGAATCAAATGGGGACGTACGAGAATCTCTGTGAAGGACCCCTAAAAAGCCAGACACGGTCATCATTATTTGTACAGGGTTTATAATTGGGTGAGGGTGCAGGCCAATGATTTCTTAACTAAATGTCTCCGAGGGTAACTGAGGTGAGTTTTCCATTCAAACAGGTGTGTGGTGTGGACGGGAGATGACCGGGTTTTCTTCTTCAACCCGACGATGCAGCTGTCCGTGTGGGAGAAGCCCATGGACCTGAAGAACCGTGGGGACCTCAACAGGATCATCGAGGACCCGCCCCACAAGCGCAAGCTGGAGGCCCCGACAGGTGACTAACAGCGGGGCCGTTTGCGTCCTCTTTCCTAGTGTTTGAACTGCGTGTTCCTGATGGTCGTGATGGGAAGCGGGGTTTTCCCGGTTATGCAGGAAATTTATCTTTAAAGAATTGTCTTGGCTACTCTAGAATTTAGGAATTAAATTTTTATGGCACTTTCTGCTGAGGGCACGTCCTTCCCGGGGGCTGGCTGGGGCTTCCTTGCCGCATTATGGAAAGTTGTGAACTCAGAGAGGCCTTCTGTCTGCCTCTGGAAGCTTCTAGCACCGTCATCAGCCAACATTGAATTTTTATTCCAAATGTTTCGTGAGCTCCACTTGAGAGACCAGACGCTCACAAACCAGAGCAAATTTCCTTCTACCTTCGTTTTAGAGCCTTGAACAAAATCCATCCATCGTTTATTTGAGGGGTGCTTGAATTCCAGGGAGAGGTGGGCATGTGGGGGACGTTCCTGCGTTCCTGCTGTAGGGGACGGGCTACTTGGCAGGGAGGTGATGGTGTCTGAAGACACCCGTGTAAATCTCATTTCCCCAGAGTCTGAGAAGAACGTTCAGCATTTTCAGCAAGCATACTTTCTGATTAGATGCCATATATTTTTTTATTAGCTGTGGTGTTGGGAAAACCCCATTCCCTGAGCACGTGGGTTAAAATAGCATTGGCTACGCCGGAGAACCTTGAAATCGGCAGCACTCTCTCGACCTGAGATGCACGCGCTGGGCTGAGAGGCCAGGAAACTGGATCTTGACCCCTGGAAAAAGGGTCTTTATTTTTATGGGGTGCTTTATTGAGCTTATCGATGGTTTTTATTCCATCATATAGGGCCAACACAAGCCAGCACCGGCCCACAGTTCTTAGTCAAAGGTAGAGGCAGAGGCGTTAACTACAACTTTAGAAAGCGGTATTATAAAAGCTTTCTTAGCACTTTTAACAGCGCTGAGAGCCTGGAAAGTGTTGCCCTTCCGGAGCTGGTGGTGGTCCTCAGGATTGAGAGGTGACAGTGTGATATGCTTGTTTCACATAAGACGGCCCTCCCTTCTCCAGAGAGCCTGGGGCAACCCACATTGGGAAAAGACAAGTGCTTTAGGTGCATCGTGAACTGAATCTGTAAAAGCTTGGCTGCATTCAGGGACACTACGAATTGGGTTTGTGATTTTGTTTCCTCCTTTGACTGAGTGGTGTCCGTTTTTACAGGGAATATTTTGTTGACAGAAGGTCTGAAAACAAATCCTCATAGAAAACCATCCCCTGACTCACGGACCACAAAACACTGCACACCTTGGGGCCTCACAGGACTCCCCAGTCCCATTAGAAACACGGGGTGCAGTTGTGATAGCTGGGATTTTATTTGATTGGTAAAAGACGGATAATGCAGGCAGTGTCCTTAGCTTACGTACTTATAGGTAATTGGGTGCTATTTCTCCTTTCCTCCCTTCCTCCCTCCTTCCCTTCCTTCCTTCCTTCCTTCCTCCCTCCTCCCTCCCTCCTTCCTCCCTTCCTCCCTCTTTCCCTCCCTTCCTTCCTTCCTTCTTCCCTCCCTCCCTCCCTTC